AGCGCCTCAGAACGCGCGCAAATATTAAGCTCTCTCTGAAGTATTGTTTAAATGAACAAATTCACACAAAAATTGTCAAAATGCCCATCTTGGTAAATATCCTATATCAGACATAGCCGGCTGAACGTACTGGATCAGTGCGTTCTCTTAAAGTTTCAGCACTTTCTTAATATTAATCAAACAGCAACAACAAAGAAATCACTCACTGATCTTGATTGAATAGCTTTTGTAACTTTAATAAAGATTAATCTTTCATTTATACAGTCAAATATGCAATGCTGTTTTACATTTCATTACTTTATTCCATTTCTGTACCTAAAAACTAATGTTAGACCTACCTAAAAAAAACGTGTATCTTTTGTATCTTTAACCTATTGTATTTATTTGTGCTGTTGCTTGTAGTTATATAGATTATTTTTATTTTCTTTATTTTTATTTGACAGTATAGTTTTTGCCTAAACATAGAACATACCGACACATACCGAAACCGTGACTCTAAAACCGTGATACGAACCGAAGCGTGAGTAAGTTGAACCGTTCCACCCCTAATATATATATATATATATATATATATATATATATGATGCATTTTATTTATGTTGCGCTCAAACAAAAAGAACTTCACGAAACATGCATAGATCTTGAAAAACCGCACATCATTATTTTCAGAAAATTCTCCCGATTAAAAGGAGCCCAAGCTCATCGTAATTTGTTCATTGGATCTAAATATATTAATTACGATGTTATCACACACATGAAACCATTAAACTGAGAAAAACATAGGTTACGTTTTCATTCATAACTTCATGAAACACTCTTGATTAAAATGAGCCCAATACCATAATCTGTCATTTAGATCTAAAGATATTCGTCATCGAGTTATAACACATAAAACTCCAAATGCGCACGTTGCAATATTCTCATGTTTTTTACGCTTGTCATTTCATGAAACATGCTGCGATCGTGGAAATGGCATATCATTATTTACAGCAGATTCTCACGATTGAAATTAGATAAAATCAAAACAATCCATTGTGTCTTTCGTGTGTAAATAATACCTAAACCCATGAATTGAAGAAATCAGTTGGAGAGCTCCACTTATTAGAAATTGGGTCTTTATAGCCCTCTAAAACACCATATAGTCCCATATCTCAAAAATGCTGCAGTAAAATGGTTCGATATGAGGTGTGCATATAGTATGGGACGTCCTGTAAAGGAATTAACCATTAGCTTTTACTACTTATTAGAAATGGGGTCTTTATAGCCCTCTAAAGTGTAATAATGTGTCATATCTTGAAAATGCTGCAGTAAAATGGTTTCATATGTGACCCTGGATCACAAAACCCATAAGGGTCAATTTTGCTAAATTGAGATTCATACATCATCTGAGAGCTGAATAAATAAGCTTTCCATTGATGTATGGTTTGTTAGGATCGGACAATATTGGCCGAGATACAACTATTTGAAAATCTGGAATCTGAGGGTGCAAAATCATCTTTAAAGTTGTTCAAATGAAGTTCTTAGCAATGCATATTACTAATCAAAAATTTTGTTTTAATATATATACAGTAGGAAATTTACAAACCATCTTCATGGAACATGATCTTTACTTAATATCCTAATGATTTTTGGCATGAAAGAAAAATCAATAATTTTGACCCATACAATGTATTGTTGGCTATTGCTACAAATATACCCCAGCGACTTATGACTGCTTTTGTGCTGCAGGGTCACAAATGAGGTGTGCATATAGTATGGGACGTCCTGTATAAGAACTGACCATTCATTTATTCTACTTATTAGAAATTGTGTCTTTATAGCCCCCCAAATTGCCATATGGTCCCATATCTCAAAAATGCTGCAGTAAAATGTTTTTATATGAGGTGTGCATATTGTATGGGACATCCCGTATAAGACCTAACCATTAGCTTTTTATACTCATTAGAAATGGGGTCTTTATAGGACTCTGAGGTAGATTAATGTCCTATATCTCAAAAACACTGCAGTAAAATGGTTTCGTATGAGGTGTGCATATAGTATGGGACGTCCCGTATAGGAACTGACCATTCATTTATTCTACTTATTAGAAATGGGGTCTTTATAGCCCTCTGAAATACAGTGTTGGGAAGGTTACTTTGGAAATGTAATAGGTTACAGATTACAAGTTACCCTACTTAAAATGTAATAAGTAGTGTAACTTTTCAATTACCTTATTAAAGTAATGTAACTGATTACATTTGATTACTACATTTCTAATGTTTTCAACTGTTAATCATGTTCAAGCATGTAAACCAGGCAGGGTTAACGTTACAGTAGTACTGAACACTGATTACTGTCAGACTTTCAAAATCCTTCATCACTTGAATGAAAGATCATAATATTTACATTTTAAAGGAGACGTTGCATGCAAAATATCTTAATTTGCATATAAATGTCTTGGTAGTGCGTAGACACAACCACTCTACAATGATAAAAATCCATTCACTTCTTTTTTTAATTCCACAAAAACCTAAACAGTTATCAAACCAAAACGATGTCATATTGCTCAGGCCCCTCCCACGACCGCTGACGTACTGTCCCATATTAGCATATTTCCACCCTCAGCCAGTTGTAGAAGTCCGTCATTTTCTCCGCGCTCGAGCAGCTGTAGCGACAACAATGTCTTGTAAGCAATGCAGGTGTTTTGTTGTTAGATGTAGAGGAATATAAGAGTCCTCATTTTCTCCAGACATCAGATCCACTGAAGACGCAATGGATTAGCTTTTGATTTTGATGGAAATGCGCTAACGAATACACCTAAATTCGTTTATGTCTGACTCCAGACTGCTTTCTGAATGAGGGACAATTCAAGGCAGATTTGTTAAAAAGTTAAAACTCAAGGATGGATTAGTACCCATTGTTCATGATCCAGCTGCACCTCCAGAAGTAGTAGTTCTCATACTTTATTTGTTTTTATGATTATTTGCTCTTCCACAGAAGAGAGGGTCCTTCTAAAAGATTTTTTTTGTTAATGTATCTTTGTTACCTAGTGATATAATTATACAACATATGAAATGTGGATAAAACACATCTAATAATGCACAAAACAAGACGCGCGCTCTCTCTCTCAAACCTGTGCACTCAAATCTATAGAATTGCCTTCTCTCCTGGATTTAATGTTGCAGAAGCCCATCACCCACCAGCCTTCCATGACTGACTGATGAAATAACAGTACCTTTCAATTGTAATAAAAAAAAAAAAAAACGGATCTTTGTTAGCATTTCCAGGCTGATTTTGGTCAGTGAATTCTCGTTATTTATTTTATTACTTAGTCTAATAGCTATTTCAATTAGTGCCTATTCTGAATAGGTATTTATTGAATTATTTTATGTATATCAGCAAGTGAACGAGTTGTGGCGAAGCTCATGAAAATATTTTTTTTGTTTAGTAGTGTATACTATTTGCAGTCTGTGCGTTTCTCTTCGCGAGACACGAATATCTTTTGTGAAGCCTATAATGAATTCAAGCACAATATTGAACGGAGAAAAAAATATTTATAATTTTTAATTAACTAGGCTGTAAAAAACATGAATGATAAAATATTTAAGGCACAGTTGTTGCATGACAACCTAGGCCGTTATCATTTGCTAATGGAAACAATGATGTTAGTTTGCGTATGCCTTTGGCCGGCTCTGCATTTATAGCCACACCTAAAGCAACAATAGATAGTTTACCTCAGATCTTGAAAATAAATTAAAACAAACGTGTTAAAACTGCTAACTCACAGCGAACCAACAAGCACAGTCCATACCAAAGATGGTATCAGTCACTCTGTACTTTTAATAAGGTTAAAAAGGTTTGATATTTATGAATTAGATTATAAACCTGTCCATTTCGTTGGGAGTGCAGTGCGCTTCTAATGGCTGTGATTTTTGAGTGATTGTCGCGTCGCGTCTGGTGTGGACAGACATGTCGCGTCGCGCGTAGTTGGGACACGGTGTTAAGCCGCCTTTCCACTGTCTCCGACACTTGGATACGATTGTGGCAAAAATGTGAAAATGTTATCATTTATTCATCTACTGTCATTCCATAACAGTATGTTATGTGTATGTCTGTTATTTCTTCTGTGGAACATAAAGACTTGAAAAATGTCTGGGGTTTTTTTATACAATAGAAGTCAAGGGGTTACAATGTTGCTTGATTCCCAGTGTTTTACAAAATATATTCTTTTCTGTTCTGCAGAAGAAGAAAAAACATACAGTATTGGAACCAAGCAAGGAAGTAAATGATGTTTTAATTTTGGGGAGACACAATTAGAGACCATGAAGGGCACTGGTCAGGTTTTGTGGTACAGTTGTTTAATAAATGAAATCAGTGGACATTCCAAAAGATTCCATCTTTCATCTTTTGAGATTCTGAATTACTTACAAATGTACATTTAGAAAATTACATAAAAATCTATGAACAAAAGTACACTGATATTTATAGCTCATGAGAACTTTTTGTCATTGCAAAATAATGTTTACAAACTTTTCTCAGTAGTTAACATGACCATGTCCTGCTTCCACAAAACAAACCAAAACATTTTTCAGTAATCAACTTAAAATAATTAAGTTGGCATGGCAGGATGAACAAACCTTCAGTCTTTCAAGAAAATTCAAACTGATTTATCAAAAACTGCTTGACTGACATTCCTTGCTTCACTTTCCCGAACAATGAAAACACACTCACACACACACACACATACACACACACACACACATACATACAAACTCACACACACACACACACACTCACAAACTCACATGCGCACGCACTCACACACGTACTCGCACGCACACACTCTCTCACACGCACACTCTCACACACACACACGCGCACTCGCGCACGCACGCACACACACACACACGCACTCACAGACGCGCACGCACGCACACACTCTCTCTCACACACACACACACACACACACACACACAGTGAACTGGCGTATAACAAGGGTCTATTTATGCTTGAACTTGCAAATATTAATTTAAACCTTCAGAGGGGTTGCCTTGCTCCTTTATTCCATCCATACTAATTCTGAACATTCTGCAAACTGAAGTCTATCTGTATTACAATTGTGCAGCACCCCATAGTTTAAATCTTGACTACTCAGCCAAACACTGCAAGACCTGCTCCTATCATTTCTATATAGTGCTCTTGCGTTTCCTCTATATTTAAAAAAAAAAAAAGATTTTCAATGAATCAATCTTCTCTTCATCACATTTTCCTTTGTTGTGTAGACTGTCTCCAAATATTTGCCATTTTTTCATCTCTACATCTACCTCTGCCTCTTCGTCCTCTTGACCGTCTGCGTGCTTGTCTATGACTAATGTCCTGAACACTTGGTTCTTCCCGTCTACTTTCACACTCAACTCTTTGTTCCTCCTGAATTACACTTTTTAAGGTTATCACTTTGCAGAAGTTTAAAACAGTTACTAATGCTTGGCTTCTCTTCATGAATACAGCATCCATTAGCATCCTTTGTGACATGACCTTGTCTTATGTCAAGTAGTCCCTGTGACATTCATTGTGAGAGTTTTGTCCGTGTCCCCGGGAAAGGTTCTGCCTAATCGGACCCCCGGGAGGAGTGGGGAGTAGTGGACCTGATAGACGTAAAGGGCGTATATTAGTCTGTCTGAGCCCCAAATGCTGATGCTGTGGTTTTGTAAAATGAGTGGGGGTGGTAGTGGAATGGTTGGGAAAATCAGATGAATGGGTTTCATTATGATCGTCAAAACCATCACAGTTTTGAGGTGAAGGTCTTCTCCGTCTATGTAAATCAAGAGAGGGTTCTCTTTGGCCCAAAAACTGTTGTGGTGAATCAAAGCGAGGTCCCCTTACTTGTGCATTATTTTTATGATCCCTGGCATAAAATGGGCCCACAATGCCTCTTCTTCGTCCTCTGAATCTTTGGAATCGCTCTCTTGGTTGACCCTTGATTTCAGTATACTGCTGTCCTTCAAACCGGCTATGCGTTGCCCCGTGTGCTGTGTCCTGAGAGTGTGATGGAGCCTGTCTTGAAAAACCTGTGCGTATTCTGTCTTCTGCATCCTCTGCAAATGTTTGGTGGCAGTCAGGGCTATGTAGCTCACAAATATCTTGTGCATAACCACTTGGATTAGCAAGATGAGGCATATGAGATTTACTGGTTGGGGTTGTGTGCGAGTCTCTGGCGTCAATCTGTCTCTCCGTTGGCCCTTCAACATTAGGAATGCTCATTTGTTTAGATGAATTCATTAGATGGGTTCTATCATGCATTACCTGACGCGAACCCCTGTGACTACCCCTACCTCGCCTAAAAGAACGCTGTCTTGGAGATGGGTCCTTTGATCCAATGGGTCGAGCAGGTCCCGGACTCTCAAACATCTCTTCTGTAAACGGTCCACTGGGTTGAGGATCTTTAGTCGGGCCTTCGTACCTCACAAACCCTGAGGATTGGCCCCTAGGTCCAAAGTTCGTAGAACTACCAGAATTAACATCCCTAGGCTGAGCAAATTCAGGACTTCTCCGTTTCATTACAGAAGGACGCTCTCTCAAAGGCTTCCACTTATCAAAGGTGGAAGGGTGAAAGTGCTCTCTAGGATTAGGAGGTCTGAAATTGCCCTTGTGCACTGGAGGAGGCCCTAATAGTGACTCTCTTTGCTGAAACTGGACAGATTCATCCTCATGAAAATTCTGCCCTTGTTTATAAGATGTGTATTTTTTGTGACATAATCCAACGGTTTCAGGTTCTTCAAAGTTGCATTCATGTAACTGGTCAGGCATGGGTTGTTGACTTTGACGAACCTGATCGGTCGCTTCCACTGGAAACCTTCTGAGCCTGTGGTTTGGATGTTTTTGGTGAACACATTTGTCTGTGGAGAATTCTTCCTGTTTGTGAGATACATAAGGTTGATTGTTGTTGTCTCCATCATGCAGAAACTTTCCTCTTTTATTTTGAGGCAGTTCTCTGGAATAGAATTGATCTGTGTCAGATTGTGATGAATTTCTATATTGTAAACGGAAAGCTCTTTGAGGGTAATCTCCTGAATGTAATTGGTCTGTCTCATTATGTGAATAATTTGGCCTTTGCATCGATGGCATGTTTCTCTTTTGATCAATCTGGCCAGACTCAGAAAAACGATCTGTTTGGTTATGTGGTGGCTGGGTATCATGGTGAAAAACATCTGTCTGAATCCCAGATGGCTGTAACGCTGGTGAATCTCTGTGTAAAGGCAAGTCAGTAGCACCATGGGCCAGACAGCGTGTAGGCAGTAGTGCTCCTTGATTAGAAGAGTCAGTTTGGTTCGGGGGCAAATTCTCCCTCTTCATTTCAGACAGTACTGAAAGTGGCAGATTTTTGTCAATTGACTTATTTAACAGAGGCTGTGAAGAACCCTCCGCAGGATTTTGGAACGTCTGAAGTCCCTGGTTTCGATCAGCCTCATGTTTTGTATTTGGAGGACCACCTTTCTGAACTTCTGCCAAACGCTTGTCTTTGCCATTAGCAGCCTCCCCCTCCACTTTAACACTCTGTCCTGATGTGTACGCAGATTGAATGCTATCACTGTCTGGCACCTGGCCAGATTCATGTTGTGAAGATTTAGTGCTATGCTCTGACAGGTCAGTTTTGCGTGACTGGTCACTGTCGTCATGTGAAGATTTGTCTCTCCGGCTTGAGTGTGAGACGGGGGAATAATGACGCCTCATCCGATACCGTGGGGGTGAAGATGAGTCTCTGTGATGGTGATAATGCCTTTTCCTTGATGTTGTCACTCCTTTTTTGTCACTGTAACATCCTCTAGAGAGATGCCCTGCAGAGTGTTTACTTCGATGGTGTTTGTCTGAGACGTCCTTTGAGGATCTAACTGTACGCGATGCTCTTGAAGACGCCCCGTCTTGATGGTGTGACCTGTGTTCGTGCCATGACCTCCTCCTCGATGACCTATATGTGCTCAGTGTGGACCTTCTACTGTCTTGATTTTTGTGGGTGTACTCTGAGTGTGAGCTTTTAGTGTTCTTTAGTTGTGCACTTTTAGTGTCTGGTGATCCTTCTTTGGGCATTGCTTTATCAGAAGCTAATTTCTCTTTCTTTGTGGTAAAAGATTTGTTCAGGACTACATTCGTGGCTTCCTCCGTGTTTAATAATTTCTCTGCACTTTCTTTATCTATAGCCTCACATTCAGTATCATCCAATGGCATATCCTGGCTTGTGTTTCGACAGATCCGTGGATCCCTATTCTGATGAATTATCTGACAGTAGGGTATGTTTTCTATGCTTTCCTCTTCATCAAAGTGTGTTGGTGACATCAGAGCTTTAGAAACAGAGAAATGGGCCATGGAAACACCAATTGCTTCCTTCTGTAGGCGTAGAGTTTCTGTCTGTTCTTCTAACTGTCTTTTCTGTTCCTCTATCTGCCTATTCAGCTCTTCTAGGATTTTTTGCTGCTCAGAGAATGTTGTAACTGAGGTGTTATCCTTGTAATGTGACATGTTATTTTCACAGAAGGTGGATTTGTGAGGTATAGCATTACTTGTGAGGTAATTTTGCATCTCCTCAAACATCGTCTCGTCCTCTGGATCATAAGCTATATCACTTGTAACCGTAGAGGTCTCTTCCATGTGTTTAGCCTCTGATGCTTTCGGTGTATTATTTCTGACAGTATCACCAACTGCACTGTACTCTTCCTCAGGGTCGTATGGTCTATCATCATCATCATCATCATCAGCCACTGCAGATGGACCTTTAGGTTCCAAAACTGGACTGAAAGAACCCATGGCCTCATTAGAGCATGCCGGATCATACTCCTCAGGATCATAAGGCCTGTCATCACCCAATATCATTGCATCATCATCTTTGCAAGTCTGTTGACAAATCTGAACCTTATCTGTTAATGAGCTTATCTTACACTCTGTGACTTCTGAGAGTTGTTTCTTTTGCCCAAATAATGTGTTAAGGATGGTCTGAAGTGGGGTGGTACTGGTGGAGTCTTTGGATGGGCCCACAGTGACAGATGGGGTGGGATTTGACACGCTGGGGAGAGAAGATGGGGCACATAGAGAGCTGGCAGAGCATGACGGGTCTGGTAACCCAACTGAAGGTAAGGATCCAGCAGGATTTGAGTCGAGGAAGATGTCAGCATCACAAGCCTTTATGCTATGTTGTCCAGGATCATTTAGTGAGGTAGGATTGCTGGTTCCCTTCCCATCTGAACACATCAAGGACCTAGAATTCTTTTCACCAACATCTTGTGGCAATCCCTCGGGACGCTTCGGCTTTTGACAGACTGCTAGCCCTATTAGGAGATTAGGGTGATTCTGTTCAAGCCCTAAGAGAAGTCATAACATAAAACAGGTTAAAATCATTATAGTCTGATGTCAGAACCGATCAGTGCAATCTGTGCGTGATATACCTGGCCCCTCTATGGGAAGAAGCACCGCAGGGATGGACTGCTTTGTACTCAGAGGAATGAGGTAAAGATCTTTGATGTGTTTACAAATATTAGAAACAACCCCGAATCTCCTACGACTGTTGAAATATGAAAACAGAGAGACATATGCAACCTCTTCCTCTTCAGATGATGGATGGAACCGGATTAATGACAGCTCCTGCATTCAAAGAAATAGTGCAAATAGATTTTACTTTACTAAGGGCATTTACCTATATAATGTGCATTTAATATAATTCATATATCAGAATTATTAATAATAAATTCAAAGTCACGGTTTTACCTTTGCCTCTGATGTCTTTATCATATCAACATATTCCCACACAGTTTGAGGTAATATCCTTCCTCCTATATGTATAGTGTCTGGTAAGTCCTGAACAGAGAAAATGCACATATTTAACACCCACTAACCACATTCACACCCCCTCCATATACAGCATACTTAAAGAAAATAATTAATAAAAACAAGGAAGAATTTTTTTTTTTTTTTTAACTTTCATTTAGTTAAGCTTAAAAGGCTAACCTCTTTTAGCAAGTCAGGAGAGCCAGAAATCAAGTATCCCTTTGTGACAAATTTAGCCACAGTTGGCATGTTAAGAAAGCCTTTCCATAAAATGCTCTGTTTGGATAAAAACTGTTTTGTTCCTTTATCACAATCTGCCAGCCTTGAAAGAGAGAGAAACACCATTAGAATTAATAAAATATGTGCCATGTAAGTATCAACAATTAATTGTATTGGTTTACGGTTGAAATGACATACAAAACACTGTCTGCATGCACCTTGTCATTGAGCCATATGAAGTGTCCAGAGAAGCTGGCGGAGGTTTCATGAGGATTGATTTTGGCATAGGAGCAGGCAAAGGTACGGACACATGTGGTGGAAGCGTCTCTTTCAGAGATTCTGGTGCGTTCTTCACAGGGTGCGGATGCTGCTGTGGGATTGAGGCAGACTCTGAGACAGCAGACGATGGTGGAGCTTGTCGGTATTGTGCTGTACGGGGGTCTCTTCTTGAGATGGACACCGTGGGAACTGAAGGTATCAACACAGGAGAGAAATCTGCTGAGGGTATCTGTGAGTTTAGGTCCTCCCCGCTGGGAGAAGCAGGGGACTCGAATGTATCAGAGTCCAGCGCTGGTGGATCCAACGCTTCATCGATCACGTGAACAACCCCTGAAGATTTCTCCTTTTCGGTCTCATCTTTTGTCATTGTCATCTTGGGTTTCTTGGTTTCAGGATCATCAGTGGATACTTGGCCTGCAGGTAGGAAATTCATATGCAACTAATTATACTGTATACAAATTATAATTGCATAACTTTATAACTATTTTTTACAATTTCTTAAATTTCCAGGTTTTTCCAAAGTGTTTCAGAAGGTCATACCTGTACATATCCTGCAATTAAGGTCAAAGAGATGGCGCTTATGTTCTGCTGTAGTGTCCTTCAGCATGCAGCTGGTCACATCTGGAGCACCTAAGCTTATTTCCTTCGCCTGAGGCAGCTTCAGAGACGATTTCTCCTCCTGAGGATAGACAAGATGCTTGATCGCTCAGAGAAGAACAGAAATGGCACTGTGCTCTAGCCAGTGAAGGAAAAAAAAGCCCTAATATACGGATCAATGTTTCCTCTAAGCTGCACACTTCTTATGTCGCGGCCGCGCAGAAGAAATAATATGCACCGCACAGAACACGCAAAAAAATGAGTTGGGAAAGCAGTTTGATTGAATTCTATAGAGTTGGTGTCGCTATAGAGTTAGAACCGGTGAATGCGGTTTACAGGTTTCATAGAAAGAGAACGATGCGCGCCGAATGAGTCGCTGTAGAAATCAAACACTTCAATGGTTGTGGACTTGTGGACAGAACACTTGTGTTCTGGTTCATTTAGTCCTGACCAAAATAGAAAATGATGCATTTAGTCCTGGTTCATGGTGTCATTTTTAACACAGAACCTAAAGATACCAAACCAAACCAAAAGCAAAAGAGTGAGGTTCACAACCTGACTGGACAGATTTCATATTTTGTGACTGAACTTAACAAATAACTCCAACGCTGTGTGCTGGGCTAAAAGTGCTCATTGTATGTCTGTACATATGGTGGTATTTTTACCAGCTGAGAACTCACAAAAAGGTCATAAAATGTGTAAAGTTGTTTAAACTGCATCAGGAATTCAATTCCACATACAAATGAATATCTGCTGCAGGAGATGGCAATTTCAACGACTGTACCAAACTGTAATAGGCTCGTCTCAGCTCCTATGACAAGAAGGGAATGTTTTTGGTCCATGCTGCTTTCGTATTTCAGTCGAACTGCACCAGAGTTTGTTTGGAAGTGGACCAAGGCCCACCGTTTCAAGGGGTCTCGGCTCACTCGTTTGGATGGAAGCATTCACACTTATTCAAATCGAATCTACCCTGCCAGTGTGAACACACCCTAAGACTGTGTGACCAAGCTGTGTGGATGATCTGCAATGTGTGTTAACGCTGTCTATAATCCAGCTAGAGAGAAGCAGATGAATGATCAAGGTTATGATTCCTTTAAACTAGTGCTGTCAATCGATTAAAAAAATTAACTAATCACACGTTTTTTTCTGAAATTAATCGCTATTAATCCCACCTAACACTAAAGTTTTTAAAAATCCTTTTACAGTGCAATAATTTCACATTCAATCTTCAAATTAATGTACAAACAACATAAAGACAGTATATTATTAATATTTGTATAATGACATCTTTTTTTATGACTGAAGGCCAGTATGTTTCACTGACACTAATACTACTGATGTCTCTATGAAATAGTTTCCCCCCTAATATTTAACCAGTGACTAGCCATTCAACATTACAGCATTTTGAACATTTATTAGACTACTTAAAATAACTTCTAATTTATGTGAACTTAAACCCATTATAATAAATGTCATATTTAGCTACCTGTGCCCTTCAGCAAGTAGGAAATATACAGAAATTGAATAAAGTTATCAAACACTAAATTTTAAATTAAATATAGATGAATCCTCAAAGGTTATTGATTTCCTCTTTTTTCTTTTGTTGCTTGATTAACAGTCATCACAGCAGCTGGTTATTAGGTTATGTGTCTGCTTTAAGAGCTGCTGCTGCTGCTGAACATGACACGCATCTCTTGACCTTTCCTGACCCTCCTCAGCTCTTAAAGTCTCTGTAATGAGCGGAGGAGTTAGATGAGGGAGACGTGCTGCTGATCCAGGACAGATCTGAAAACCACTGCATTTCAGAGACAGGCTCTTAAATCTGACTCGTAGTTAACAAAATACTTACATGCATGCACAGTTTTAAGGCAGCTTTTATTGCCTTTTTGGTAACTTCATGACTTAACTGACAACATAACTATGACACTGCATGCTGGTCATTTCTTTCGCGCTTTGATATGAAATGATACAGGCAACTGAACGAGCAGCTGCTTTTCTGGCGCTGAGGTGAAGTAGGAGTGTGTGTCTGAAAAGTCTCCCATTTTAAGTGGTCGTAAAGACGTTCTGCGTCTAAATAATTGTATAATCTGAATGCAATTCTTGTCAAGAAAAGAGACAGAAGCAGCAGTTGTGAGTTGGGTGGTGAACCCTAGCGCCGCCCCGCATTAAGTGCGTTAAATATTTGTAACGCATTAAACTAAAACATGAATCGCCTGCGTTAACGCGTTCATTTTGCCAGCACTACTTTAAACAATAAAAAAAAGTAATTTGTAAGAATGAAGCATCATCTCACTGAAGGAGTGGTTGTGCTCAGTGACGGCGTGGTCTCTACACTCATCACTTTCTCAGGAGGAGCAGCTGGCTCTTCCACATCCTCAGATAAATGGGACGATGGCTTCTTCATTGAGATCTGCAGCAGTGGATCAGCAGCAGATTCCTGTCAAAAAACAGTCAAGAACTGAAATGCTAAACATTGACTTAACATGAGTTTGTGACGTCACAGTACTTTACCTCCTGCTGACTCAACTGAACGAGCTTCACTGAAGGCATGTTTCCTTTCAAAACCTGATGACACACTTCCTGAAAACAATACAACCATCAGAATAAATTCATGACTCCACACATTACAAAAACATTTAAAGAGAGTAATTGTGTACACAGTAAATTTACAAAACAAATATTAATAACCTTGTTTTTGTGATCTTGCAAGGTGAGGACGAGACACTGGTATTTATTCTTATACTCCTCATCTGTTGTGTAACACATGTTGAACATCTCTTTCTCCATGTCCACAGCCATCTTTTCAATTTCACTCTCAGAAATCTTCAAATCATCACTCTGACTGAACCTGATGAAGAAAATGACAGGATTATAAATATAGCTGTTAGCGGCAGCACACAAATGGTAAAATATGGCCTGAATATAGAATATTTTAGGCAAAGTGGTCTATAAAACCATAAGCATAATTACTTATAATGCAATAAAACTGATTTTAACTTGATCAATATGTGACGCTGCCATCACATTGATATTATAGTATTGTCATACTAGAGAGTGAAAGTGCGCTTTCATCCAGAGCGTCTCTTACATGTTCCGCCATGCGCTTCTCGTCCGTGCTTGTTTAGGTCAGAGTGCGCACGCATTCTTTCACGCAGCATACAGCGTGTTGTGCATTTTGACCAGTTTATTGTAAAAGTATTCTTAAAATGCATTCAAAATTCAGAATAATTTGTAATATATAATTATTCACGGTATTTAGAAGTGCCCACGATAACAATATCGTGCATATTCATTACCGTGATGTATCGCATTACCGAATACCGGCACAAGTCTATATGACACACTAAGATATGCCAAAGCATTATTCAAAATGATGTCTGAAACTTTGTATTACTAGCAATACTATCTACTAGAATTGTTTTTATTGCCTCTTAATGATAAATCGCTTGTTGTATTCCTCATTTGGAAGTCACTTTGGATAAAAGCATCTGCTAAATGAATAAATGTAGGATACAACCTCAGATCCTTTCAATTTGCTTATGTGTTGCTTATATGTTAGTCCACTGTCCTGCAAAGTTTAGCTCCAACCTGCCCAAACACACGGGCCTGGATGGTTCTAGCAGGTTCAGCTCTGTTTATTTAGGACTGGAGCTAAACTCCAGAAGCTTTTTATTTTCATTTTACAAAACTAAATTCTAAATTGTCGACATTCAATTTGGCCGACATAGGAACATTAGGTATCATTCAACTCCGTATGCCTCACGAAATAAATAAAAAGATCAGTCTCATGGTGTTAGGCCAAACTAATATGAAGCAAAAAAGTTTTATTTCCATATTTCTTGACCAGAAGGTGGCACTATACTAAAGTTACTTTAATTAATTCACAAAAGTGCCGTCAACCTTACATTCTGTTTGGTGTGCTCAGTGTTTAATCTGTTGCAGCTTTATACAAGAATGCTTTGGTCTTTCAGAGAACTTTCTATGACTTTTGTCAACATGATCTATCCATGATTTGAGCCAGATTTAGTGAAGACCTAATGAACGATCGAGGAGGAGTTTGAAAGAATGATCGATTTGGCATTAGCTCTGGAATCAGAAATAAAACGTTTAGCTGTTGGTGACATTAAAAGTTCAAGATTTTTATAACTGTATGTGTATGTGTGTATGATTCTATAGACTCCACGAGAAGACAAATGATGACGGCTTGCATTCGGTCTCTTTGCACCTTTGGTGCTTGATCACTAATAAACATTTGTTACAGGATTGTTTTTTTGAAGTGTTTAAATGAAGACGAGGTAGCTTCCTCTAACCTTCTGAACAGAACTGTACTCAGCGAGCGGCGAATGTTTTGTCTCATCAGGAGAGGACTGGCGTGAGGGGCCGCAGCGGGCTCATCTGCCCAGGGGCCGCAGGGAACCACTTCTGGGGGTTTGCTGGACTCAGAGGGCTTTTTAGGGAAAGGTAAAGGGCTTTTACTGAGAGCCCCTTTCAGAAGCTCCAGTCGTGGAGAGCCTGGCATGGTTTTCTTTGCTCTTCCTGGAGTGGACTTCTTAATTAGCGGGGCTGCAGGAGTTTTTTCAGAAGAGGACATGTTCAGAGTCAAATCTGAAGGTTGGCTCTGTGGTGTGCTAGTATTGCACTCAACTTCATCTTTAACGGCTGAAAGAAAGAATAAAGAGAAGGATACAATGATATAAAACACCAGAAGAATATAGAAAAAAAACAGTAGTTCACATGCAGCGCTCACATCATCTAAATGAACCCAAAAGTGCTAGTGTGAAAGCATTAGGGCTGCACAACATTGGAGAAAACCGACATTGACATTTTATTTTTCTGCAATATGAAAAATTACAGCAATTTTTTACCAGATGACTTTATGAACAGCTGTATTGCAGTACAGAAAATACTTTTTTAAAAAGCTGAACATTTTATTTTTATTCTGAAGTTGTGTGTGTGTGTTTGAGAGAGTGTGTGTGTGTGTGTGTACAGGTTTTCTATTCTGGTGGGGACTTAAACCTGAATACACACAGACTCGTGGGGACTCGTGTCACGGTGGGGACCTAAATTGAGGTCTCCATGGGTACAGAAGCTTATAAATCATACAGAATGAGTTTTTTTTGAGATTGTAAAAATGCAGAAAGTTTCCTGTGAGGGGTAGGTTTAGGTGTAGGGCGACAGAAAATACAGTTTGTACAGTATAAAAACCACTACGCCTATGGAGAGTCCCCACAAGGATAGTGCACCAGACTGTGTGTGTGTGTGTGTGTGTGATCCTTTTAGCTCTGCAAGACTTGGGAAAACTTTTTTTGGGTGTTCATACTTGGGTTTACTTATTACAAGAACCAACTTTAACTTTATTCAGTTCCACTTGGATTTTCATAGGCCACATTCTCACTGTTTTCAACCAGTTTAATCTGACTATAAAGTAAGTGTCATGATTTTATTGTGATTATTGTTTATAATATTGAGATTATTGTGATATGAAACATTAAAAATAAGAAACATTCTAATAATAATACTGTAAAATAGTGTAAAATAAAAAGAATATACTTTACTGTAAAACTACAATACAAATGTCTTAATTTATTAATTTATTCAGTGAATCTCAGCTCTGTGTGTTCATGCAGACCATGATATCAGTGTCTCAGAACAGCTCCAATCACAGTAAATGAATCAAACATTTCATGGGTGTGGATTATTCGAATTATGAAAGGGCATGCAAATACACCCTTTTCATGAAAGATTGAAATTTATTAACACATTTAACATACACAAGTTTCAGGAAAGGTCAGTTTTCTTTAATGTGCAAATTACTCAATATACTCATATATTTATGATTTACAAGTTTTATGAATGGAGGCCAATTTTGTTTTTCCACTTTTTTTTTTTTTTTTTTTAAATAACACTGC